GTTACCAATGATTTTTTATATAGTGTGGAGAGTGGACACGGCTTCTGCACCTTCAATTAGTATCCATAGTGAGATCCCATCCGGGCCTATAGCCTTTGTCACATCCAATTCTAGCAAAAGCTTACTTACATCCCCACTGGTAATCCCAAAATCTTCTAGTGGTACCTGGTTAGCTATGCCTTCTCTTATCTCTGGAACTTCTTGCTCTAATGTGAAGACCTCCTGGAATTTCTTATTCAGAAATTGAATAACTTCTGCTGTGTGTGTGTGTGCGTGTGCATGCGCGTGCGTGTCGACAGCGTGGGAGTGGAAGGATCGGTGGCCTCCACTACCTCAGCTGTGTGTGTAGTCACCTAGTTGTACTCACCTAGTTGTGGTTGTGGGGGTTGAGCTCTGGCTCTTTGGTCCCGCCTCTCAACTGTCAATCAACAGGGGTACAGGTTCCTGAGCCTACTGGGCTCTATCATATCTACACTCGAAACTGTGTATGGAGTCAGCCTCCACCACATCACTTCCTAATGCATTCCATTGTCAACCACTCTGACAATAAAAAGTTCTTTCTAATATCTCTGTGGCTCATTTGGGCACTCAATTTCCACCTGTGTCCCCTAGTGTGTGTGCCCCTTTTGTTTAATAGTCTGTCTTTATCTACCCTATCAATTCCTCTGAGAATCTTGTATGTGGCGATCATGTCCCCCCTAACTCTTCTGTCTTCCAGACAGAAATCTGTCTTCTGTGTGTGTGTTTACTAGTTGCGTTTTTACGGGGGTTGAGCTTTGCTCTTTCGGCCCGCCTCTCAACTGTCAATCAACTGTTTACTAACTACTTTTTTTTTTTTCCCACACCACACACACACACACCCCAGGAAGCAGCCCGTGACAGCTGACTAACTCCCCGGTACCTATTTACTGCTAGGTAACAGAGGCATTCAGGGTGAAAGAAACTTTGCCCATTTGTTTCTGCCTCGTGCGGGAATCGAACCCACGCCACAGAATTACGAATCCTGCGCGCTATCCACCAGGCTACGAGGCCCCTGTGTGTGTGTGTGTGTGTGTGTGTGTGTGTGTGTAATTACCTAAGTGTAGTTACAGGATGAGAGCTACGCTCGTGGTGTCCCGTCTTCCCAGCACTCTTTGTCATATAACGCTTTGAAACAACTGACAGTCTTGGCCTCCACCACTTTCTCACTTAACTTGTTCCAACCGTCTACCACTCTATTTGCGAAGGTGAATTTTCTTATATTTCTTCGGCATCTGTGTTTAGCTAGTTTAAATCTATGACCTCTTGTTCTTGAAGTGCCAGGTCTCAGGAAATCTTCCCTGTCGATTTTATCAATTCCTGTTACTATTTTGTAGTTAGTGATCATATCACCTCTTTTTCTTCTGTCTTCTAGTTTTGGCATGTTTAATGCTTCTAACCTCTCCTCGTAGCTCTTGCCCTTCAGTTCGGGGAGCCACTTAGTAGCATGTCTTTGCCCCTTTTCCAGTTTGTTGATGTGCTTCTTAAGATATGGGCACCACACAACAGCTGCATATTCTAGCTTTGGCCTAACAAAAGTCGTAAACAATTTCTTTAGTATTTCTCCATCCATGTATTTAAAAGCAATTCTAAGGTTAGAAAGTGTAGCATAGGCTCCTCGCACAATGTTCTTAATGTGGTCCTCAGGTGACATTTTTCTATCTAAAACCACCCCTAGATCCTTTTCTTTATCAGAATTCTTTAAAGATTTCTCACATAATATATAGGTTGTGTGGGGCCTATGTTCTCCTATTCCACATTCCATAACATGACATTTATTAACATTAAATTCCATTTGCCAAGTGGTGCTCCATATACTTATTTTGTCCAGGTCTTCTTGAAGGGCATGACAATCATCTAAATTTCTTATCTTCCCTATTATCTTAGCATCATCAGCAAACATGTTCATGTAATTGTGTATTCCCACTGGTAGTTCGTTTATGTAGACAATGAACATTACCGGTGCAAGAACTGAACCCTGAGGTACTCCACTCGTGACATTCCTCCAATCCGATACCTTGCCTCTGATTATGGCCCTCATTTTTCTGTCAGTTAGGAAATTTTTCATCCATGTTAGTAGCTTACCTGTCACTCCTCCAATATGTTCCAGTTTCCAGAACAACCTCTTATGGGGAACTCTGTCGAAAGAGTTTTTTAGGTCCAGATAGATGCAGTCAACCCAACCATCTCTTTCCTGTAAAATCTCTGTGGCTCGATCATAAAAACTGAGCAAGTTCGTTACACATGATCTCCCAGATCGAAAACCATACTGTCTGTCTGATATTATATCGTTTTCCTCCAAGTGTTCTACCCATTTAGTTTTAATTATTTTTTCCAATATTTTGACTATTACACTTGTCAATGATACAGGTCTATAATCAAGGGGGTCTTCCCTGTTCCCACTTTTGTAGATTGGAACTATGTTAGCCTTTTTCCACACATCAGCTACAGCTCCTGTACACAGGGATGCCTGAAAAATCAGTTGAAGTGGAATGCTGAGCTAAGGTGCACATTCTCTCAGAACCCATGGTGAAACTCCATCTGGACCAACTGCTTTGTTCTTACTTAGCTTCTTGAGCATTTTTTCCACTTCGTCTCTAGACACCTCTATGTGCTCTATGTTGTTCTCTGGAATTCTTATTGTATCTGGTTCCCTAAAGATTTCATTTTGTACAAACACACTTTGGAACTTTTCGTTTAGTGTTTCACGCATTTCCTTTTCATCTTCCGTGAATCTATTTCCCATTTTCAACCTCTGAATATTATCCTTTACTTGCAATTTGTTGTTTATGAATTTATAGAATAGACCTGGTTCTGTTTTACATTTGTCTGCAATCACTTTTTCAAAATTTCTTTCTGCCTCTCTCCTCACTGCCGTGTAGTTGTTTCTCGCATCTTTGTATCGCTGGTATGTGTGTGTGTGTGTGTGTGTGTGTGTGTGTGTGTGTGCACGTGTGTGCGCGCACGTGTGTGCGCGTGTCGACAGCGTGTGAGTGGAAGGGTCGGCGGCCACCACCACCACTACCTCAGCTTCGTGGAGAACATCGGTGCCGAATATGTGCGTGTTGTACTCCTTGCCCCAGCTGATGATGGTGCAGGTGTCGCCGACCGGCAGCGTTGCGCCCTGCTCCGGCAGGCAGACGGGGGCGATGCGGGCGCCAGACTCCACCGCCTCGGGCAGCTGCAGCAGCGCTATGTCGTTGTCCACGGTCGTCGGGTTGTACTGCGGGTGCACGACCGTCCGCGCCACCTGCCGACGACACGGAGTCCTTACACATTGTGGCATGATGAGAGGGTCACACATTGAGGCATGATGAGAGGGTCATACAATGTGGCATGATGAGAGGGTCACACATTGTGGAATGATCAGAGGGTCACACATTATGGAATGATCAGAGGGTCACACATTGTGGCATGATGAGAGGGTCACACATTGTGGCATGATGAGAGGGTCACACATTGTGGCATGATGAGAGGGTCACACATTGTGGCATGATGAGAGGGTCACACATTGTGGCATGATGAGAGGGTCACACATTGTGGAATGATGAGTGTGTCACACATTGTGGAATGATCAGAGGGTCACTCATTGTGGAATGATCAGAGAGTTACACATTGATGAATGATCAGAGTGTCACACATTGAGGCATGATGAGAGGGTCATACATTGTGGCATGATGAGAGGGTCATACATTGTGGCATGATGAGAGGGTCATACATTGTGGCATGATGACAGGGTCATACATTGTGGCATGATGACAGGGTCACACATTGTGGCATGATGAGAGGGTCACACATTGTGGCATGATGAGAGGGTCATACATTGTGGCATGATGAGAGGGTCACACATTGTGGCATGATGAGAGGGTCACACATTGTGGAATGATCAGAGTGTCACACATTGTGGAATGATCAGATGGTCACACATTGTGGAATGATCGGAGGGTCACACATTGTGGAATGATCAGAGTGTCATACATTGTGGAATGATGAGAGGGCCACACATTGTGGAATGATCGGAGGGTCACACATTGTGGAATGATCAGAGTGTCATACATTGTGGAATGATGAGAGGGCCACACATTGTGGAATGATCGGAGGGTCACACATTGTGGAATGATCAGAGTGTCATACATTGTGGAATGATCAGAGGGTCACACATTGTGGAATGAAAAGAGGGTCATACATTATGGAATGATCAGAGGGTCATACATTGTGGAATTATCAGAGGGTCATATATTGTGGAATGATCAGAAGGTCACACACTGTGGAATGATCAGAGGGTCATACATTGTGGAATGATCAGAGGGTCACACATTGTGGAATGATCAGAGGGTTACACATTGTGGAATGATGAGAGGGTCACACACTGTGGAATGATCAGAGGGTCACATTGTGGAATGATGAGAGGTCACACATTGTGGAATGATCAGAGGGTCATATATTATGGAATGATCAAAGGGTTACACATTGTGGAATGATCATAGGGTCACATTGTGGAATGATCTGAGGGTTACACATTGTGGAATGATGAGAGGATCATACATTGTGGAATGATGAGAGGATCATACATTGTGGAATGATGAGAGGGTCATACATTGAGGAATGATGAGAGGGTCATACACTGTGGAATGATCAGTGGGTCATACAGTGTGGAATGATCAGAGGGTCACACATTGTGGAATGATCAGAGGGTCATACATTGTGGAATGATCAGAGGGTTACACATTGTGGAATGTTCAGAGGGTCACACATTGTGGAATGATCAGAGGGTTACACATTGTGGAATGATCAGAGGGTCACACATTGTGGAATGATCAGAGGGTCACACATTGTGGAATGATCAGAGGGTCACAGTGTGGAATGATCAGAAGGTTACACAGTGTGGAATGATCAGAGGGTCACACATTGTGGCATGATCAGAGGGTCACACATTGTGGAATGATCAGAGGGTCACACATTGTGGCATGATCAGAGGGTCACACATTGTGGCATGATCAGAGGGTCACACATTGTGGAATGATCAGAGGGTCACACATTGTGGAATGATCAGAGGGTCACAGTGTGGAATGATCACGACTATAGACATTGTAGTCTGACCTCCAAATCCGGTCTATCCCACCGTATGATGATGCAGCGACACGTGCCTCACCTGACGTGCAGCGACACGTGCCTCAGCTGACGTGCAGCGACACGTGCCTCAGCTGACGTGCAGCGACACGTGCCTCACCTGACGTGCAGCGACACGTGCCTCAGCTGACGTGCAGCGACACGTGCCTCACCTGACGTGCAGCGACACGTGCCTCACCTGACGTGCAGCGACACGTGCCTCAGCTGACGTGCAGCGACACGTGCCTCACCTGACGTGTTGCGACACGTGCCTCAGCTGACGTGCAGCGACACGTGCCTCAGCTGACGTGCTGCGACACGTGCCTCAGCTGACGTGCAGCGACACGTGCCTCAGCTGACGTGCTGCGACACGTGCCTCACCTGACGTGCAGCGACACGTGCCTCAGCTGACGTGCAGCGACACGTGCCTCACCTGACGTGCTGCGACACGTGCCTCACCTGCCGTGCAGCGACACGTGCCTCAGCTGACGTGCAGCGACACGTGCCTCACCTGACGTGCTGCGACACGTGCCTCACCTGACGTGCTGCGACACGTACCTTGTACTCTCGCTCGGGTCCCTCCCTGACGGCCATGTCGTGCTCTCCGAGACGCACGTACAGCTTCCTCCTGACGCAGTGGGCCGCCGTCAGCACCCAGCGGGAGGCCACCAGCGTCCCCCCACAGAACGCCTCGTGCAACACCAGACACGTCAGGATAGTTACACCCGGGACAAATGGAACTTTCCCAAGGAAATGTTAAACAGAGAAACTTATTAATTAAACCACTGCCACCATCCTGCCTGACCATTAGGTATATCAAGCAATGAGGCAAGAAGCATTTATTATTATTATTATTTTCTACCACAGACGTGCATTGCTTGGATATTGAGCGTTCTCCTCTAGATATTTTTACTTAATGACCGGTTGTTAACAAAACTGAGCCCAGAGGATAAGAGGTTCAATGTCCTTGCCCAATGGACGAATCACTTCCAAAACAACACACCCTGGACGCAAACACAGTGACCTCCTTACCAGAGCCTCAGATATTAACACCAAGTAAGGCTTCCAGCACTTCCACTAACACGATAACATCATTTATATTTGCCAACATCCAGGGTATAAAAACACGCAAATCGAACAAAGTTCACTTTATAGATGGTCTCCTTCATGAGGCAAATGCAGTGTTTGCTGCCCTAACGGAAACTCACACAAAGGACTACCATGATGGTGAAATATGGATCTCTGAGTACAATCTTTTCAGATGTGATAGGAAACACCGGCTTCAGGGTGGGGTCAGCCTCTACATCAAAGACACACTCATCTGTACTGAGCTGCTAAACACCTCAAATGATATGATGGAAGTGTTGATAATCAAGATAGAGATTCTAAATGTAGTTATTGTCTTTGTATATAAGTCACCGGAGGCAAACCCTCAGCAGTTTAAAGACCAACTAATGAAAATAGAACGCTGCTTGGAAAACCTCACAAATCCAGCTCCGAACATCATCCTGCTTGGGGACTTCAACCTACGGCACCTGATATGGAAGCACCTGGCTAATACAGTAATATCAGAAAGAATACCAGGAAGTAGCCTAATTGAACAGGCACATGCAAATGACCTGCTACGGATGTGTGACAGGTTTGCCTTAAACCAGCAAATAGTAGAACCAACTACGAAGGAGAACACGCTGGACCTCATTTTCACTAATAATGATGAATTGATCAGGAACATAATGATTACAAATACCTGTTACTCAGATCACAACCTAATTGAAGTTATGACAACCATGGGGAGTAGACCTTCAAAACCAGCCCAAATTCCCGGTGGAGATTTCAGCAAATTCAACTTCAATAATAAACAGATAAACTGGGAGCAAATAAACCAGGATTTCACAGAAATAAACTGGGAAGAACAGCTAGAAAATGCAAACCTGAACCAGTGCCTGAAAAAAATAAGCTCAGTAGCACTAGAAATATGTTCAAACCGCATACCCCTAAGAAAAAAGAGGAAGAGATGCAGATTGGAACGGGAACGTAGTTCCCTATATAGGAGAAGAAAACGAATCGCGGAACAACTTGAGAGTCGCACCCTATTTCAAGAACGGCGAAGAAGGTTAGGTAAAGAAATAGAAACAATTGAAAGCAAGCTACAAGAATCATATAAAACCCAGGAGAGGCAAAGAGAGCAAAAGGCCATCAGTGAAATAGAGAGAAATCCGAAATATTTTTTCTCCTATGCAAAATCAAGATCAAAAACCACATCTAGTATCGGGCTCCTGCGAAAGGGAGATGGAACTTTCACCGATGACAACAAAGAAATGAGCGAGCTACTGAGGAAGCAGTACGATTCTGTTTTCAGTGAGCCATTAAACGCACTAAAGATTGATAACCCAAATGAATTTTTCATGGATATGATACCAACATCAAATCATATATCAGACGTCACCCTATCCCCACTGGATTTTGAAGAAGCCATAAACAGTATGCCTATGCACTCTGCACCAGGCCCGGATTCTTGGAACTCCATATTCATCAAGAACTGTAAAAAAACATTATCGCAGGTCCTCCACATTCTGTGGAAACAAAGCCTAGATACTGGCGTTATTCCTGATATACTAAAAACAGCAGAGATAGCACCACTTCATAAAGGAGGAAATAAGGCAGAGGCAAAAAATTACAGACCGATAGCACTAACATCGCACATTATAAAAAATTTTGAGAGAGTGCTAAGAAGTAAGATCACAAAATACATGGAATCACAGCATCTCCATAACCCTGGACAACATGGTTCCAGAACAGGGCGCTCTTGCCTGTCGCAGTTGCTGGACCACTATGATATGGCATTAGATGCTATGGAAGACAAACAAAACGCTGATGTAATTTACACAGATTTCGCAAAAGCTTTTGATAAATGTGACCGTGGGAGCCGGTCGGCCGAGCGGACAGCACACTGGACTTGTGATCCTGTGGTCCTGGGTTCGATCACAGGCGCCGGCGAGAAACAATGGGCAGAGTTTCTTTCACCCTGAATGCCCCTGTTACCTATTTACTGCTAGGTAACAGGGGCATTCAGGGTGAAAGAAACTTTGCCCATTTGTTTCTGCCTCGTGCGGGAATCGAACCCGCGCCACAGAATTACGAATCCTGCGCGCTATCCACGCGGCTACGAGGCCCCTGTGTGTGTGTGTGTGTGTGTGTGTAATTACCTAAGTGTAGTTACAGGATGAGAGCTACGCTCGTGGTGTCCCGTCTTCCCAGCACTCTTTGTCATATATCGCTTTGAAACAACTGACGGTCTTGGCCTCCACCACCTTCTCACTTAACTTGTTCCAACCGTCTACCACTCTATTTGCGAAGGTGAATCTTCTAATATTTCTTCGGCATCTGTGTTTAGCTAGTTTAAATCTATGACCTCTTGTTCTTGAAGTGCCAGGTCTCAGGAAATCTTCCCTGTCGATTTTATCAATTCCTGTTACTATTTTGTAGGTAGTGATCATATCACCTCTTTTTCTTCTGTCTTCTAGTTTTGGCATGTTTAATGCTTCTAACCTCTCCTCGTAGCTCTTGCCCTTCAGTTCTGGGAGCCACTTAGTAGCATGTCTTTGCACCTTTTCCAGTTTGTTGATGTGCTTCTTAAGATATGGGCACCACACAACAGCTGCATATTCTAGCTTTGGCCTAACAAAAGTCGTAAGCAATTTCTTTAGTATTTATCCATCAATGTATTTAAAAGCAATTCGAAGGTTAGAAAGTGTAGCATAGGCTCCTCGCACAATGTTCTTAATGTTGGTCCTCAGGTGACATTTTTCTATCTAAAACCACCCCCTAGATCCTTTTCTTTATCAGAATTCTTTAAAGATTTCTCACATAATATATAGGTTGTGTGGGGCCTATGTTCTCCTATTCCACATTCCATAACATGACATTTATTAACATTAAATTCCATTTGCCAAGTGGTGCTCCATATACTTATTTTGTCCAGGTCTTCTTGAAGGGCATGACAATCATCTAAATTTCTTATCTTCCCTATTATCTTAGCATCATCAGCAAACATGTTCATGTAATTGTGTATTCCCACTAGTAGATCGTTTATGTAGACAATGAACATTACCGGTGCAAGAACTGAACCCTGAGGTACTCCACTCGTGACATTCCTCCAATCCGATACCTTGCCTCTGATTATGGCCCTCATTTTTCTATCAGTTAGGAAATTTTTCATCCATGTTAGTAGCTTACCTGTCACTCCTCCAATATGTTCCAGTTTCCAGAACAACCTCTTATGGGGAACTCTGTCGAAAGAGTTTTTTTTAGGTCCAGATAGATGCAGTCAACCCAACCATCACTTTCCTGTAAAATCTCTGTGGCTCGATCATAAAAACTGAGCAAGTTCGTTACACAGGATCTTCCAGATCGAAAACCATACTGTCTGTCTGATATTATATCGTTTTCCTCCAAGTGTTCTACCCATTTAGTTTTAATTATTTTTTCCAATATTTTGACTATTACACTTGTCAATGATACAGGTCTATAATTAAGGGGGTCTTACCTGTTCCCACTTTTGTAGATTGGAACTATGTTAGCCTTTTTCCACACATCAGCTACAGCTCCTGTACACAGGGATGCCTGAAAAATCAGTTGAAGTGGAATGCTGAGCTCAGGTGCACATTCTCTCAGAACCCATGGTGAAACTCCATCTGGACCAACTGCTTTGTTCTTACTTAGCTACTTGAGCATTTTTTCCACTTCGTCTCTAGACACCTCTATGTGCTCTATGTTGTTCTCTGGAATTCTTATTGTATCTGGTTCCCTAAAGATTTCATTTTGTACAAACACACTTTGGAACTTTTCGTTTAGTGTTTCACGTATTTCCTTTTCATCTTCCGTGAATCTATTTCCCATTTTCAACCTCTGAATATTATCCTTTACTTGCAATTTGTTGTTTATGAATTTATAGAATAGACCTGGTTCTGTTTTACATTTGTCTGCAATCACTTTTTCAAAATTTCTTTCTGCCTCTCTCCTTACTGCCGTGTAGTTGTTTCTCGCATCTTTGTATCGCTGGTATGTGTGTGTGTGTGTGTGTGCGTGCGTGCACGTGTGTGCGCGTGTCGACAGCGTGTGAGTGGAAGGGTCGCCGGCCACCACCACCACTACCTCAGCTTCGTGGAGAACATCGGTGCCGAATATGTGTGTGTTGCGCTCCTTGCCCCAGCCGATGATGGTGCAGGTGTCGCCGACCGGCAGCGTGGCGCCCTGCTCCGGCAGGCAGACGGGGGCGATGCGGGAGCCAGACTCCACCGCCTCGGGCAGCTGCAGCAGCGCTACGTCGTTGTCCACGGTCGTCGGGTCGTACTGCGGGTGCACGACCGTCCGCGCCACCTGCCGACGACACGGAGTCCTTACACATTGTGGCATGATGAGAGGGTCACACATTGAGGCATGATGAGAGGGTCATACAATGTGGCATGATGAGAGGGGTCACACATTGTGGAATGATCAGAGGGTCACACATTATGGAATGATCAGAGGGTCACACATTGTGGCATGATGAGAGGGTCACACATTGTGGCATGATGAGAGGGTCACACATTGTGGCATGATGAGAGGGTCATACATTGTGGCATGATGAGAGGGTCATACATTGTGGCATGATGAGAGGGTCATACATTGTGGCATGATGAGAGGGTCATACATTGTGGCATGATGAGAGGGTCACACATTGTGGCATGATGAGAGGGTCATACATTGTGGCATGATGAGAGGGTCACACATTGTGGCATGATGAGAGGGTCATACATTGTGGAATGATCAGAGGGTCACACATTGTGGAATGATCAGAGGGTTACACATTGTGGAATGATGAGAGGGTCACACATTGTGGAGGAATGATCAGAGGGTCACACATTGTGGAATGATCAGAGTGTCATACATTGTGGAATGATCAGAGGGTCACACATTGTGGAATGATCAGAGGGTCACACATTATGGAATGATCAGAGGGTCACACATTGTGGAATGATCAGAGGGTCACACATTGTGGAATGATCAGAGGGTCACACATTATGGAATGATCAGAGGGTCACACATTGTGGAATGATCAGAGGGTCATACATTGTGGAATGATGAGAGGGCCACACATTGTGGAATGATCAGAGGGTCACACATTGTGGAATGATCAGAATGTCATACATTGTGGAATGATCAGAGGGTCACACATTGTGGAATGATCAGAGGGTCATATATTGTGGAATGATCAGAAGGTCACACATTGTGGAATGATCAGAGGGTCATACATTGTGGAATGATGAGAGGGTTACACATTGTGGAATGATGAGAGGGTCACACATTGTGGAGGAATGATCAGAGGGTCACATTGTGGAATGATCAGAGGTCACACATTGTGGAATGATCAGAGGGTCATATATTGTGGAATGATCAAATTGTTACACATTGTGGAATGATCAGAGGGTCATACATTGTGGAATGATCAGAGGGTCACACATTGTGGAATGATCAGAGGGTTACACATTGTGGAATGATGAGAGGGTCACACATTGTGGAGGAATGATCAGAGGGTCACATTGTGGAATGATCAGAGGTCACACATTGTGGAATGATCAGAGGGTCATATATTGTGGAATGATCAAATTGTTACACATTGTGGAATGATCAGAGGGTCATACATTGTGGAATGATGAGAGGGTCACACATTGTGGAGGAATGATCAGAGGGTCACATTGTTGAATGATCTGAGGGTTACACATTGTGGAATGATGAGAGGATCATACATTGTGGAATGATGAGAGGGTCACACATTGTGGAATGAATAGAGGGTCATACATTGTGGAATGAATAGAGGGTCATACATTGTGGAATGATCAGAGGGTCATATATTGTGGAATGACAAGAAGGTCACACATTGTGGAATGATCAGAGGTCACACATTGTGGAATGATCAGAGGGTCACACATTGTGGCATGATCAGAGGGTCACACATTGTGGCATGATCAGAGGGTCACACATTGTGGCATGATCAGAGGGTCACACATTGTGGAATGATCAGAGGGTCACACATTGTGGAATGATCAGAGGGTCACAGTGTGGAATGATCACGACTATAGACATTGTAGTCTGACCTCCAAATCCGGTCTATCCCACCGTATGATGATGCAGCGACACGTGCCTCAGCTGACGTGCAGCGACACGTGCCTCAGCTGACGTGCAGCGACACGTGCCTCAGCTGACGTGCAGCGACACGTGCCTCAGCTGACGTGCAGCGACACGTGCCTCAGCTGACGTGCAGCGACACGTGCCTCAGCTGACGTGCAGCGACACGTGCCTCACCTGACGTGCAGCGACACGTGCCTCAGCTGACGTGCAGCAAAACGTGCCTCAGCTGACGTGCAGCGACACGTGCCTCAGCTGACGTGCAGCGACACGTGTCTCAGCTGACGTGCAGCGACACGTGCCTCAGCTGACGTGCAGCGACACGTGCCTCAGCTGACGTGCAGCGACACGTGCCTCACCTGACGTGCTGCGACACGTGCCTCACCTGACGTGCTGCGACACGTGCCTCAGCTGACGTGCAGCGACACGTGCCTCAGCTGACGTGCTGCGACACGTGCCTCACCTGACGTGCTGCGACACGTGCCTCACCTGACGTGCTGCGACACGTGCCTCACCTGACGTGCTGCGACACGTGCCTCAGCTGACGTGCAGCGACACGTGCCTCACCTGACGTGCTGCGACACGTGCCTCACCTGACGTGCTGCGACACGTGCCTCACCTGACGTGCTGCGACACGTGCCTCAGCTGACGTGCAGCGACACGTGCCTCAGCTGACGTGCAGCGACACGTGCCTCAGCTGACGTGCAGCGACACGTGCCTCACCTGACGTGCTGCGACACGTGCCTCAGCTGACGTGCAGCGACACGTGCCTCAGCTGACGTGCTGCGACACGTGCCTCAGCTGACGTGCAGCGACACGTGCCTCAGCTGACGTGCAGCGACACGTGCCTCACCTGACGTGCTGCGACACGTGCCTCAGCTGACGTGCAGCGACACGTGCCTCAGCTGACGTGCTGCGACACGTGCCTCAGCTGACGTGCTGCGACACGTGCCTCAGCTGACGTGCAGCGACACGTGCCTCAGCTGACGTGCAGCGACACGTGCCTCACCTGACGTGCAGCGACACGTGCCTCACCTGACGTGCAGCGACACGTGCCTCAGCTGACGTGCAGCGACACGTGCCTCACCTGACGTGCTGCGACACGTGCCTCACCTGCCGTGCAGCGACACGTGCCTCAGCTGACGTGCAGCGACACGTGCCTCACCTGACGTGCTGCGACACGTGCCTCACCTGACGTGCTGCGACACGTGCCTCACCTGACGTGCTGCGACACGTACCTTGTACTCTCGCTCGGGTCCCTCCCTGACCGCCATGTCGTGCTCTCCGAGACGCACGTACAGCTTCCTCCTGACGCAGTGGGCCGCCGTCAGCACCCAGCGGGAGGCCACCAGCGTCCCCCCACAGAACGCCTCGTGCAACACCAGACACGTCAGGATAGTTACACCCGGGACAAATGGAACTTTCCTAAGGAAATGTTAAACAGAGAAACTTATTAATTAAACCACTGCCACCATCCTGCCTGACCATTAGGTATATCAAGCAATGAGGCAAGAAGCATTTATTATTATTATTATTATTTTCTACCACAGACGTGCATTGCTTGGATATTGAGCGTTCTCCTCTAGATATTTTTACTTAATGACCGGTTGTTAACAAAACTGAGCCCAGAGGATAAGAGGTTCAATGTCCTTGCCCAATGGACGAATCACTTCCAAAACAACACACCCTGGACACAAACACAGTGACCTCCTTACCAGAGCCTCAGATATTAACACCAAGTAAGGCATCCAGCACTTCCACTAACACGATAACATCATTTATATTTGCCAACATCCAGGGTATAAAAACACGCAAATCCAACAAAGTTCACTTTATAGATGGTCTCCTTCATGAGGCAAATGCAGTGTTTGCTGCCCTAACGGAAACTCACACAAAGGACTACCATGATGGTGAAATATGGATCTCTGAGTACAATCTTTTCAGATGTGATAGGAAACACCGGCTTCAGGGTGGGGTCAGCCTCTACATCAAAGACACACTCATCTGTACTGAGCTGCTAAACACCTCAAATGATATGGTGGAAGTGCTGATAATCAAGATAGAGATTCTAAATGTAGTTATTGTCTTTGTATATAAGTCACCGGATGCAAACCCTCAGCAGTTTAAAGACCAACTAATGAAAATAGAACGCTGCTTGGAAAACCTCACAAATCCAGCTCCGAACATCATCCTGCTTGGGGACTTCAACCTACGGCACCTGAAATGGAAGCACCTGGCTAATACAGTAATATCAGAAAGAATACCAGGAAGTAGCCTAATTGAACAGGCACATGCAAATGACCTGCTACGGATGTGTGACAGGTTTGCCTTAAACCAGCAAATAGTAGAACCAACTACGAAGGAGAACACGCTGGACCTCATTTTCACTAATAATGATGAATTGATCAGGAACATAATGATTACAAATACCTGTTACTCAGATCACAACCTAATTGAAGTTATGACAACCATGGGGAGTAGACCTTCAAAACCAGTCCAGATTCCCGGTGGAAATTTCAGCAAATTCAACTTCAATAATAAACAGATAAACTGGGAGCAAATAAACCAGGATTTCACAGAAATAAACTGGGAAGAACAGCTAGAAAATGCAAACCTGAACCAGTGCCTGAAAAAAATAAGCTCAGTAGCACTAGAAATATGTTCAAACCGCATACCCCTAAGAAAAAAGAGGAAGAGATGCAGATTGGAACGGGAACGTAGTTCCCTATATAGGAGAAGAAAACGAATCGCGGAACAACTTGAGAGTCGCACCCTATCTCAAGAACGGCGAAGAAGGTTAGGTAAAGAAATAGAAACAATTGAAAGCAAGCTACAAGAATCATATAAAACCCAGGAGAGGCAAAGAGAGCAAAAGACCATCAGTGAAATAGAGAGAAATCCGAAATATTTTTTCTCCTATGCAAAATCAAGATCAAAAACCACATCTAGTATCGGGCTCCTGCGAAAGGGAGATGGAACTTTCACCGATGACAACAAAGAAATGAGCGAGCTACTGAGGAAGCAGTACGATTCTGTTTTCAGTGAGCCATTAAACGCACTAAAGATTGATAACCCAAATGAATTTTTCATGGATATGATACCAACATCAAATCATATATCAGACGTCACCCTATCCCCACTGGATTTTGAAGAAGCCATAAACAGTATGCCTATGCACTCTGCACCAGGCCCGGATTCTTGGAACTCCATATTCATCAAGAACTGTAAAAAAACATTATCGCAGGTCCTCCACATTCTGTGGAAACAAAGCCTAGATACTGGCGTTATTCCTGATATACTAAAAACAGCAGAGATAGCACCACTTCATAAAGGAGGAAATAAGGCAGAGGCAAAAAATTACAGACCGATAGCACTAACATCGCACATTATAAAAAATTTTGAGAGAGTGCTAAGAAGTAAGATCACAAAATACATGGAATCACAGCATCTCCATAACCCTGGACAACATGGTTTCAGAACAGGGCGCTCTTGCCTGTCGCAGTTGCTGGACCACTATGATATGGCATTAGATGCTATGGAAGACAAACAAAACGCTGATGTAATTTACACAGATTTCGCAAAAGCTTTTGATAAATGTGACCGTGGGAGCCGGTCGGCCGAGCGGACAGCACACTGGACTTGTGATCCTGTGGTCCTGGGTTCGATCCCAGGCGCCGGCGAGAAACAATGGGCAGAGTTTCTTTCACCCTATGCCCCTGTTACCTAGCAGTAAAATAGGTAGCTGGGTGTTAGCCAGCTGTCACGGGCTGCTTCCTGGGCGTGGAGGCCTGGTCGAGGACCGGGCCGCGGGGACACTGAAAAGCCCCGAAATCATCTGAAGATAACCTCAAGATGGCGTTATTGCACATAAAATGCGTTCAAAAGGAATTACCGGAAAAATAGGCAGATGGATCTACAATTTCCTGACCAACAGAACCCAATGTTTAATTGTCAACAAAATAAAATCCAACCCATCAACCGTGAAGAGCTCAGTCCCGCAGGGTACTGTGCTTGCTCCAGTACTTTTTCTCATCCTCATATCGGACATAGACAAGAACACAACCTATAGCACTGTATCATCCTTTGCAGATGACACTAGGATCTTCATGAGAGTAGGCAATATAGAGGACACGGCAAACCTCCAGTCAGATGTAGATCAGGTCTTTCTATGGGCTACAGAAAATAATATGGTGTTTAACAAAGATAAGTTCCAGCTCATGCGCTATGGAAAAAATGAAAATATAAAAACGGAAACCACGTACAAAACTCAGGCAAATCATAACATAGAACGTAAAGGCAATGTAAAGGATCAGGGTGTACTCATGTCGGAAGACCTTACCTTTAAAGAACATAATAAAGTATCCGTCGCAACTGCAAGAAAAATGACAGGTTGGATAACAAGAACTTTTCACACTAGAGATGCTATACCGATGATGACACTTTTCAAAACGCTTGTGCTCTCTAGAGTGGAGTACTGCTGCACAATGACAGCCCCTTTCAAAGCTGGAGAAATTGCTGACCTGGAGAACGTGCAGAGATCCTTTACTGCTAGAATCCACTCAGTAAAACACCTAAACTATTGGGACCGACTAAAGAGCCTAAATCTGTACTCCCTTGAGCGCAGGCAGGAGAGATACATAATAATTTACACGTGGAAAATATTAGAGGGGCTGGTCCCAAACTTGCACACAGAAATAACATCACATGAGACCAGAAGACATGGCAGGATGTGCAGAATACCCCCGTTGAAAAGTGGAGGTGCAACAGGTACTCTGAGAGAGAACTCTATCAACATCAGAGGCCCGAGACTGTTCAACACGCTTCCGCTACACATAAGGGGCATAACTGGCAATCCCCTCAGAGTGTTCAAGAGAGAACTGGATAAGCACCTCCAAAGGATACCTGATCAACCAGGCTGTGACTCATACGTCAGGCTGCGAGCAGCCGCGTCCAACAGCCTGGTTGATCAGTCCAGCAACCAGGAGGCCTGGTCGACAACCGGGCCGCGGGGACGCTAAGCCCCGGAAGCACCTCAAGGTAACCTCAAGGTAGGCGGCAACACTCCAGACAGGCACCTATGCATTCAAGACATTAACCTTCAGTGGGTTACACAATGTCAATATCTCGGAGTGTGGATAGATTTTAAAATGACTTTCAACAAGCAAATTGAATATCTAAAGGAGAAAGCAAAATCACGACTAAATATAATGAGAGCAATCACAGGGCCCCGTCTAGGAGCGGGACACAAAGTGCTAAGAATGTTTTACATACATGCCGTTCGTTCTCTAGTTGATTATGCAGCGCCTGCCTTACTCACTCTTTCTCCTGGTCAGTGGGCAAACGTTGAGGTTATTCAAAACGATGCATTGCGAGTCATAACAGGAGCTCCCAGATGGACTAAAATACTGAACCTAAGACTAGAAACCAAGCTAACGTCGATTGAAATAAGGGTAAAAGGGATTGCTGCGTGCATGCTGATCAAGATATTGACTAGACCTAGAATCAGTTCACTTAAAGATATAATCACTGGAGCACTAACTCTGGACAGAAGAGCCTCCAATAGCAACAGGTGGACCCATTCTGCGATAAACACCATCAATACATTCGATATAACAAACACAGTCACTGAGAAGGGTGTCGACGAAATACATGCAGACTTTGTTATACAAGCCCCTTGGGAATCTCTGCCAGCAGACTTTAAGATTGTGGCTCTTGAAGGAAAAAAGAACCAGACTAATCCTCATCTGCTACATAACATTGCACAGATGCATATAGAAGCAAACTTGGCATCCGACAGCTTCACTTACTTCACAGATGGATCAGTAGACCAGCAGGGACAAGAAACCGGAGCTGCAGTTAAAGCAGGAAACTCTGTAAATAGTTGGAGACTCTCAAATGGGTGTTCGACTTTACAAACAGAGATGCTAGCCATTCAAAAGGCTTTGGAACATGCTCTTGCTCAACACCGACAACATGTTATCATACATACAGATTCGAGAACTGCCATTGAAACCTTGCAACAAGAACACATATGTGATAACATACATCTGATCACAAATGTCATATCATTAATGCAAACACTCAAACGACAAGGCCGACGGGTAGTTATCAACTGGGTGCCAAGTCATGTGGGAATAATAGGAAATGACATTGCGGACGAAGCTGCAAATTTTGCAACTAAGAGAAGAAATGTAGACATTTACATACCACAGACTCTATCACAGATTAAGAAAGTAATTAGAAACAGAGCAATGCAAAAGATGTACAGTGACCACAACACAGCAGTTGCAACATCAGGATCTGCGGGTTGGTACAAGAATTCAACCAACTACGAACCACTTAGTTTGATGAAAGGGAGCAGTAGAGCAACAGAAGTGCACTTACATCGCATCAGGCTTGGATACCCATGTGCATGGGAAATAGGCTTACAGGTTCCGGAAGATGAGAGGAAATGTCAACACTGTGGAGAAATGCCCGACAGACCACTGGAACATTATCTAACACAGTGCACAGTTACAAACCCATTAAGATTTCAACTTAGTTTCAACAGAGCAGAAGAAGTTGTTAAACACATATGGCAAAATCTTAATAAAGCGACCATACAAGTAATAAATACTCATACTCCGCCCAAGTGAAACAGAAACAAGCAACACTTAGTGGGCCAGCCAGAGGCTTAGGGCCCGCGCAGGAATATCCCTGCAAAAAAAAAAAATACTGCAAAATAAACTATGTATGGAATGTACCCAATTACCCAATCTCCTAATCTTTATGTACTTAACCCAAACAACTTTATCATTGTGTTCATTGCTGTCTTCTTTTATGTGCTAGCCATATGCTGTATTGTGCCTTCTAATTTTTGTTAAACTACCATTCAAGCTGTCATTGCAATCAATCTGAGCTACCTATGTGCTTTAATATGCCTACAATTTTCTCTCATCTTTTATTTTTTTTCTTGCTTTGTAACTTATTATTTTTTATAAATTTTGCAAGTTTTTACCTACTTAAAATATTCTTACATAAAGGACCTGCCCGAAACGCTGCGCGTACTAGTGGCTTTACAAGATTGTAATTACTATGCTATGTATCCTCAATCCCAATGTACCTTCTTGTATATATATAAATAAATAAATAAATGTATTATGCAAGTACCTAAACTGTAATTACATTAAATTGAGTTTTAGTTTACTTACAGTAAATAAATTTTCTTTTTTTATTAGTGTCCCTGGCTCAAAAAAAGAAGGCAGTAGAAGATGTGGAGCTTCAGAAGAGATCCAGAGAGGAGCAACAACATACCATTCAAGAAATGCTGCATTATCTCACATATTACAAGAAGAAGAGAGAGATTTTAACCGAACATACTAAAGAGTTATGTGGAATTTTCCCTTTATATCTAAGCAAGGTAAGCTAACAGCTTAAATTAAATGTGTGTTGCAATTCAGTTCTTCATAAACATTTATCCAGCAGAACTTTAGACTTATATATACTAATTTTATACTTTATGTCTTGCTATTTATGGCTTTGACAGGTAGACAATTCCATGGTTTTAATATACTGGTGTCTTTTACATGTGAACTTTTATCAAAAATTTTCATTATTTATATATTCTAATTTCTTTAGTATTTTCAGACAAATTTGTAAATGTCTTAAATCCCATTAAATATTTTATATATTACAGGATCCTAACAAGTACACTATTGAAGAGAAGCACTTATCACCCAAAAATAATAGTGGAATCCTGGCTCTTTTGAAGCAAGGGCAAAAGTTGTGTACTGACAAGCTGATTACTACTGGCCTCCATTGTCTTGCCTGCACTTTGTTTCCCATCAATCATATCACTCATTCTTACAGGTGTGAGACAGAGAGGGACAAGATCATCCAAGAGGAATAACACCTGAAGGCAGCACCACACCAGAAGGCAGCACCACACCTGAAGGCAGCACCACACCTGAAGGCAGCACCACACCTGAAGGCAACACCACACCTGAAGGCAGCACCACACCTGAAGGCAGATCCACACCTGAAGGCAGATCCACACCTGAAGGCAGCACCACACCTGAAGGCAGCACCACACCTGAAGGCAGCACCACACCTGAAGGCAGCACCACACCTGAAGGCAGCACCACACCATCCACTTTTGCAGTTTTGCCCCATTTGCCAGCAACATTTGGCTGCTTTAATTAATAAAAACAATATCGCCTTTAATGGCTTCACTCATCCTGGCTGATTTAATTAATAATTAATTAATTCTCTCCACGAACAGGACCAAAACTTGCTCCAAGCGGAATCACAGTTTCGGGCGATCGAGCGACAACACAGAAAAGTGTATACTCTTTTCACTGTGCTGACCTTAATTTTTGATGTACATATTTCATTGTTGTACCAATGTGTTCGCAATAGAATGTTCTAGACGCACATATGTATAAAATGTCACCAAACCGTGATTTAAATCACTACCAATAAAGAAACTAAGTGGATCACTAGCCGTGAGCTCCAAACAGCGACGAGATGTTTCCATTCTTTTCAGGGTTGTCAACTCCACATTTGTCCTACAGCGTTAAATTTGGTATCTTTGAGATCGCAATAACATTTCCTACACGGACATATGCATATAAATGTAGAATCATGATTGCGGCCCACCCGAAAGAGTGTGGGAAGTGGGCGAAGTGTTACCCGTTACCGCACCTCAGCTATCTACAATAGTTTTCCCATGAAGATACAATCCAATACCGTTCTTCCAAATAGACTATGTGGCTATTAGAGAAAACGTAAATTTTATGGTAAACATGTTCATACTATCCCCAAGTCGATCGGATAAGAATTGAATTTTATTGAAATATTTGTTCGTCGGACAAAAAAATATGTCTACTCAGGCAGTTTCAAGTGACCCCCGACGGACACGATCTTGTGTCCGCGGGGGAGTAAAGTGTTTATTAATAAAAACAAAATCGCCCTTCATTGCTTCACTCATCCTGACCAAAAAAAGACATTTTAACAATTTATTTATTTATTTATTTATTTAAGTAAAATACTTTTCTATGTTTAGTGTGAGTTTGTTGGTTGACATCCACATGTCGATTTTTTTAAGCATGTTAGAGACATTAGGCAGATCATTGATGTATATACGAAATAGGAGAGGTCCGAGGATGCTGCCCTGCGGCACCCCAATGGTACAGTGGGAGAGGATATATCACTGATGGCTACATAATGGTGTCTGTCAGTATGATAGGATAGGATACATTTTGGGGTACAAAATCGGATACAGTTCAGGGTAAGGCCACGGATTCTATAATGGTGGATTTTAATTAAGAGGTAGTTATGGTATCAAAAGCCTTTCTCAGGTCAATGAAGAGTCCAATCGGAAACTCACTTTTGTCAAGGGCTGAGCAAGGGTTGCACCACCCACAGCAAAGCTATGGGTGGTGCAAGGGCATGGGAGGTACTCTTGAATACCATGATGGTATTTCACTAATGTTCCCAACTTTGGTTTTTAGTCCAAAGTTTGGACTTAGTTTAGTTTGGTCTTAATAGTGATGAAGGAGGCATATCGCCTATGCACCATTAACCTATATACAGAGTAAAAAAAATTTTTAATTTTAAGTAATTACCCACTTAAATTAAAAATTTATAACTCCAAAAATTTATATATGCACTAAAGCGTTCTGAAGAATAATGGAAACAGACCCAAGTATCAGTTGGGTTAACCCATGTATCGAGTTTTCAAAATGGTCACCCCATGTTGGAATAGACGAACGCCGAAAGAATATTGTTGAAAACATCTTGATAACTTATTAAACCAAAATTATTTATTAGTCAGAATAAAGACAGAAATAGGAACAATATGTAAGATATCTACCAGACAAATATTTTAAGTACAACCGAAGATATTTGATCGATCGACGGAGCTACTCTCTTTCTCTCACATCAATGTTTATTTCACGTAAATTCATTAATAAACAAAAATGATTTATATGTCTAAAGAAAGACAGAAACATAAGCTTCATTTTAAATACTTTACCATAGACATATTTAAAGCCCAAGTGAAACTACATATGTTTACAATTACCTAGGTATCAGTGTCCAGCCAGGCGGGGATCACAGGCTGCACAATACTGATAAATTATGTAATTCACAGAGATGCTCCAGCTAAGGATGGATAACTTAGGCACTCTGCAGGGGGTGCCTAAGTTATCCATCAATGGATAACTAGGCACCCTGCAGGGAGATGTCCTCAGTCCTACCTTATTTAACATCTAAGAGCGCTGTTTGTCGACATAATTGTATTTGTGCTGCTTTTTCATCTATGTTTTCATTTCTTGTTTTCATTCTACTCAATTAGTATTAAGCTTGTCATTTAAGTTTATCATGCCCGAAACGCTTTGCGTAATAGTGGCTTTAGGCATTGTATGTACTACCTCTACCTATAAGTCAACCAATCTTTGTAAAAATTTATTGTATGTATGTACCTTACCTAAATAAACATTTTATTTTTATTTTTTTTTATCTTAATAAACACGCTCTTGTTGATCGTGTTACTGAAATTAACTGTCAAATTGGTATAAAAATGCTTAGGCTAACTCATCCTAACCCTTGCACAGAAGCCCTCCAGAATTTCTTTATTGAAGGTCAGCATTGTTCCAAATGGATAACTAAAACTGGAACTGAACTCAAAATGTATCAGCTTTATAATTTGTACCAAGAGAAACCAGAACGACACTTTCCTGCACCGTGGGAGGTTAACCCTTTCCAATTTTAATCCCTCCCTTTCCACCCAAGAAGCAAATTAGAGGGCAGCCCAAGCTTCGTCTTGAGGCAAAGCTCAACGCCTTAAGCCATACTGATGCTCTGTCCACAGAGCATTCTCTCTCTCAGATCATATACACTGATGGTTCCCTACACCGCACCACGGGTGCAGTTGTTCTGACAATGGGCGATGTCTTGTACTTTGAGTGGGGAGTCCGTATGAACAACTGGGCCTCTACCCTTCAGACCGAACTATTTGCCTTGCTTCTTGCACTGAAATGTGTACAAGTCTCCAAACTTGATACATTAATTGTAAGTGACTCCTTATCATCCTTAATTGCTCTCAACTCTTTAATACATAATTATAACGTGCTCGTGTCCGAAGCTAGACACAAATATAACAAAATTATTAAGGATTGTAACAGAGTCCATTTCATGTGGTCTCCATCTCATGCTGGCCTCCGAATGCATGATAGAGCTGATAAGTTAGCCAAAGAATCTGCTTTTAAAGGAGCCGTTGAGTGTAACCTTGGATTGTCAATGAGCAATCTGAGAGCAGCAGTACACCGAGAACTTCAACAAAATCTTGTAGATCTGAGGCAAAGTGAAATCGACACCAGTAATTCCATCTATCATCATACTATCATGCAAGAGGAGCCACACATCTATGGTTCATCCAATAAAACCCTGAGCCCATTCTGTGCTTCTGTAACCCTTTCCACTACCGTCCACAAGATGGGTATGGGGTGCATAATATATGAACTAAACTAACTAAAAACTCACAGAGATGCGTTGATAAACATTAATGTTTATATTTTATTAAAAAATACAGATATAAACTTTGTTTTCAAACGTTGAATGTAACATTATTTCGAGTAAAAGAATCAAGAAATAAGAAATTTATGATTTAAAGTTTTCCTGTAAAGTTACAATGTTACCTTAGTTGCACTCTATCATATACTGCAGGAAATTAACTTATAAAATTTAAGTCACTTTAATACACAAGACAAAAGTAAAGAAATATGTATTTTAATTACGACGCAAGATCGTCATTATATAATGGAATGTGAAAAAAATCGCGGAATTTAGAGATAATACCATCAATAGTGTCCAAGAAATGTGTAAGTACTTCATTCATAATGATGTACTGCCCGAAATCTTAGCGAAGTATCCAAAATTTGCTTACTGTAGGTAATGCATGCACATGACTGTAAAGCTGCCGCCCAGTTGGGTGGGTGTGGAGCACATGACTGTAAAGCTGCCGCCCAGTTGGGTGGGTGTGGAGGACATGACTGTAAAGCTGCCGCCCAGTTGGGTGGGTGTCCAGCACATGACTGTAAAGCTGCCGCCCAGTGGAGTGGGTGTGGAGCACATGACTGTAAAGTTGCCGCCCAGTTAGGTGGGTGTGAAACACATGACTGTAAAGCTGCCGCCCAGTTGGGTGGGTGTGGAGTACATGACCGTAAAGCTGCCGCCAGTAGTAGGATTGACGCCTACGACGTGCGATTTTCATTTTTTCCTAAGCACGTCGTAGGCGTCAGGGGTTTTTGATAGCTACGACCGGCTTTTTTCATTTTTTCCAAAGCACGTCGTAGGCGTAGGGGGTTTTTCCTGTTTTTTCCTAAGCACGTCGTAGGCGTAGGGTTTTTTTCCTGTTTTTTCCTAAGCACGTCGTAGGCGTAGGGGGTTTTTCCTGTTTTTTCCAAAGCACGTCGTAGGCGTAGGGGTTTTTTTCCTGTTTTTTCCTAAGCACGTCGTAGGCGTAGGGGGTTTTTCCTGTTTCTTCCTAAGTATGTCGAAGGCGTAGGGGTTTTTTCCTGTTTTTTCCTAAGCACATCGTAGGCGTAGGGGGTTTTTCCTGTTTTTTCCTAAGCACGTCGTAGGCGTAGGGGGTTTTTCCTGTTTTTTCCTAAGCACGTCGTAGGCGTAGGGGGTTTTTCCTGTTTTTTTCCTAAGCACGTCGTAGGCGTAGGGGGTTTTTCCTGTTTTTTCCTAAGCCTGTCGTAGGCGTAGGGGGTTTTTCCTGTTTTTTCCTAAGCCTGTCGTAGGCGTAGGGGGTTTTTCCTGTTTTTTCCTAAGCACGTCGTAGGCGTAGGGGGTTTTTCCGGTTTTTTTCCTATGCCGGTCGTAGCTTCAGGGGTTTTTCTGAATTTTTTTGTTCCTATGCCGGTCGTAGCATCATAGTTTTTTGTTCCTAGGGATTAAAAAGCTGGTCCCTGGCATCCCCAAAT